GGGCCCGGGCCCAAGGTTTTAGCTGCCTGCACCTCACCACCCACGACAAGCAGCACTTCTACGCCCACCTGGGCTTCATCCTGGGCAAGCCGGTGCAGAGCGTGGCCTTCCTCAGCCCCGCCATACCCACTGAGGTGCTGCGGCTCTTCTCCACCGCTCCTGGCACTGCCACCACCACCAGGCCAAGGGTGACGTCCGCTCCCGCGCCTCCCCTCCCACCGCCTGCTGCCCCCCCTCCCGCGCCAACCGTGGTCTGGGCGAGGGGAGTCCTGGCCGAGAGCAGTGGGCAGAGCCTCCTGGAGACCCCCTACCGTGATGCCAAAGGGCTGCCCATCTTCTGGATGAAGAAGGACATGGGAGGGGCTGGGGCCCCGAGCCAGCGATGAAAAGCAGTGTGGGCAGGGGCTGCCTGCCATTCTTTGGAGCTGGCACCAGCTCCCCCAGCCTCCCTGGTTTGCCCTGGCCCCGTTGCTTGTGTAGGGGCTGGTGGGGAAGCGGTCCCCACACGCTGCCCTGCCCAGCCCAGGCACACTGACTGCTCCCACCTAGTCCCTAGCTCGCCTGGCCGGGGCCCCGGGACCACCAGCATGGCAGGGAGCCAGGCCTACCCTAGGCTCTGGGGTTGGGACTGGTCCCAGGAGCGCTGCCTGGTCCCACCAGTGTCTCCTCCACGCAGGGGACTTGCTGTGGGGCAGCTGGGGCTGATGACACACTGTCCGCCAATGTGGCTGCCACTCGCCACTGAGCAGCCTGGGGAAACTGAGGCATGTGATGGCTGGAGGGGCACCAGGGGGAGTAGGGCAGGGTGGTGTGGGCTGCAGGGTCCCCTGCTCTGCACTGTGAGGGGGCAGGCGGCTAGGGCCCCCCCAAGGCAGCCGGCAGTCATGAGGGCCGGAGGCATGGGAATGAGAAGGTCAGGGAGAGCAGTTGGGTTCCACGCCGGGGGATTAGCACCATCCTTGCTGCGTCACACAGCCCCCGGGCCCATCCCCTGCCTAATCCTCTCACCCCGGGGAGCTGGCTGGCACCGGACAGGGGCACCTGGCCTGGGGGGGCAGAGCTGCCCCTTTGGCTCTGCCACGCCTCTCAGGGGGCTCAGTCCCTCAGCAGGGCACCCAGCCTGGCTAGACCCTGCTGCAAAATAGCGAAGGGGGTCATGGTGCCCCCCGCTACAGGCAGGGCTAGGAGCCAGCAGGAAACTGAGGCACCGGGGTCAGCAGTTTGCAGTGCCTCACCAGAGCCACGCCATGGTGGTGCTCTGGCAGGAGGTGTCTGAAACCCCCAAGTTTGCTTGAGTCCCGTGGGATTTTGGGGCAGGCAGCCCATGCCTGTGGGGCAGCCCAGCCCCTGTGGCCAATCGTAGCCCACAGTGTGCCAGGGTGGCAGCGCCAGCATGGCCGAGGTGCCTGCTGCGCCCTGCCGCCTCACCCCTGCCGCTCTCCTTTCCCTGCAGGGTGCTGGCCCCGTGGGCAGCTGGCAACACAGGATGGGGCTGGGGCTGGTGCTGTGGGCCTGCCTGATGCTGGGCATGGCTGGCGGGGAGAGTCCAGCACCAGAATCCTTGGTGGGTGGCCAGCCCTTCACCGTGGTGTGGAACATCCCCACCGGCCGCTGCCAGCGCCGCTTTGGCATGGGGCTGCCCCTTGGCAACTATGGCATCGTGGAGAACCAGCGTGGCCGCTTTGCCGGCCAGAACATCACCGTCTTCTACAAGAATAAGTTTGGGCTGTACCCCTACCTGTCGCAGCAGGGCGTCCCCCATAACGGGGCATCCCCCAGCGGGTCCCCCTCAGCGCCCACCTCACCAGGGTGGCCAGGGACATCCACCTCCTCCTGCGCCCCGCTTTCCACGGCCTGGCAGTGGTGGACTGGGAGGAGTGGAGGCCCCTCTGGGCCCAAAACTGGGGGGCCAAGCGGATCTACTGGGCAGCCTCAGAGCAGTGGGTGCGGGCCCGGCCTGGCCTCCTGCCGGCACGGCAGC